TCTCGTACTATTTTGTTATCATTATTGTCGTTACTTTTTTTTGGCATACCTTGTAAAGTTCTACTGTTAACTTTTATATACATTAAAATTAATTTTTTAAAATAATTTTAAAATATTTTCTTATATTAATTTAATATATTTAAAAATTAATTTTTTAAATATTAATCTTAAAACTTAAATTTTAAATGATTTATAAATTAACATTTATTTGTAAATAGATATAACCTTTCATGCTACCATTTATAGAATTATTATCCCAAAGAGAGCAGCTCCATGATAAGATTCCATAGCGGCCGCTGGGTATTGGTTTGGTTCCGGTCGAATAGAACCTAAATTTTTGGGAGCCAAAATTTAATAAATAGATTTTGTTTAATATGGTTGTGATTTTTAATTTTAATTTTTAATTTTTATAAAATTTGTAACTATTAAAAATTAAAATTAAAAAATTACCAATCATTAGATCTCATAAAAAAAAACATATTCAAACTTAAGATTTTACTTTAAAAGAACTGAATTCTTTTTATTTAAATCAACAAATCATTGGTACAAGTTTTAACGTTAATAACGAAATATATAAATTTATTTAATAATATTAAAATTATTTTTATTTTTTCTTTAATAATTATGATAATATGTTGTAAAAATATATAAAAATAAATAAATATTCATTTAAAATTATGAAATTTATAAAAACATAAAATTAAAAATAAAAAACCACAAACTAAACAAAATCTTAGGACTTGTTTGATTTTTCACATGGCACCTTATGAAACTGAAATTCAAATTCTGATTCTTCTTCAATTTTATTTTTTATTTTTTTTATTCTTTTGGATTTTGGGTTTCCTTTCATCAGCTTTTAATAATAATAAGAGCTTTTTTAATTTGTACTCTAAGTTTATAAGTTATGAGTATATTTATTATATTTTTTTTATCACTAGTATATATTAAAGAAATGAAAACTGACATTAATTTTATCAATTACTTAATTAAAAATATACACATGACATGAGTGTTAAAATTAATGTCAATTTTTTTATTTTTCAATATAAATTAAAGCATAAAAGGTGTATTTAAGATATTCTTAATAATCATTACTACTTATTAAATTTTGTTGCCATTAAGGTCCAAAATGCATTAAAGTTGAAAATTTAAAAAATGACTAAAATTTTACTAACGTCTAAAAAAATCTTCAGTTTATCAGCTGATTTTAATCTTTTCTTTTTAAAATTTAATTTCGAATTGTGATTCTAGTCTATTTACTTTTCTTATTAGTCAAAAATTGAAGATTAAATGGATCTATATTAAAACTATCACTTTATCTATAAGATAAACAAAATTGAAAAATCTTACTTTGAATATTATAATAAAAACTCTTTTAGATTAGGTCATTTATTTAGAATTCAAACTTCACCTTAATAAATTTTTCTTTAATTTAGAATTAACCTAGTTGTGTTATACTTTTAAATCTCAAGTTAATAGATCAATTTAATTTATACCAAATGATTGAACCATCATTTTTACCAAAAAAAAAAAAAGAAGAAAACCCCTATTTTCTTTTGAGAAGGGGAGAAAAATCTATCAAAAATTACTTAATTCTTTACAAAATAATAAATACATAAATCAGTAAATTTAAATTTAGAGCCAAATTCCCTTCAAAACCAACTCAAAACCAACTAGGTGATGTTAGTAAACCCTAGTAATAACCCCAAGAGTGATGATATGCAGCACGAATATACAGGACGATTTTACGTAACCAATGACATGGCTTACTGATTGTCTGTCATGTAAGACCCTTTTTCAAGTAATACTTTGTTGAGATGGCTACCACTTCATGTTCGTCCTCTGTTTCTCTCTCATTTTATCATCTCAATTATCATTATTCTAAACCCAAACTAATTAAAAACTAACCACAACCCACCATAAGTAGACCCATTAACCTAAACCCATAAACATGTCCATGGTCCAAATTTGTATACTTCTCACACGATCGTCCAATCTAAGGACAATGAGTCATTGACTAGGCTCGAAGCCTTGAAGCCCATTCTCACAATGAGTCAATAACATGGCCAGAAGCTCATAAACGAAAGACAAAACCGGCCCATTTGACTTCGGCTGTGCCATATAATTCCTCCTTAAACCCTCTTCAAGAAATAACAACAAATTTTACAAAACCCTCACTCACGATCAGAGCAAATCAAATCAACCAAATATAACTGGTTTTTTGTTGCATAATTCTAAAGGATCAGTGATGTCTCTCTTAAATAGATTGCAAGCACTTCGCTCTCTTCATCAAACGGTTAAGTTTGGAGAATCATCATATCTGTGAGTATGCATTTCGTTTTTCCAGTTCTCTGATTGGTTCCCGAGAAAATGAGAGAAATTGGAAGGGAAAATGTTCCTTTTTTTTCAAAAGTTTAATCTTTTTAGTTCAGAAAGCAAGAGAAAAGAATACCCATTTGGATGTTTGGCTCATTTCTGTTTCTGTTCATCAGTGACCATGTTCTTCATTGAAAAGAAAATTTTGAATGGAATAGGATGGTAGTCACTAGCTGCTTCTACTTATTTTGAACTTTTAAATGCATCTTTATTATAATATCTGATAAAGGGTGTTCTTTTATGGATAAAAGTTTTGATTTTTGATTTTTCAATCTTCTCGTATTATAGTTGATTTCTCCAATACCATAGTGCTTGTTGTTTGTTAATTATTTCGTTTTTTCTTTCAGTCTGGGGAGCTCAAGAGGATATTCTACAGGTTTTCCAAATGGTAATAGGTTTTCAGGTTAGTTGTTGTTGAATCACTAAGGCACTGATTAGTTTATAGCAGTTATTTTATTTTCTCCCCAAGTTGCCATGTACTTCAGTGATCAATAAATTCACAATTCAAAGGTTTTTCCTTGCTATCAGTTCCTCAAGTTTCCAGCCTTGGCATTTCCTCTTGCTTATATAAGACAGACAATGTTCTTCCTTGGACTAGTGGGGGCACAATAACACTTCATTCAACTATGGTAACATTCTGATGTATGGAATTGAGATTTTATAACACTATTGATGGAGCTATCATTGTTCGAATGCAAATAAATTTAAGACCACATCTTGTTCTGTTTTGATTTTAGGCTGCTGAGTTATTAATCTTCTCGAATGGAAAAAGGTTTGCAACAACAGGAGTACAAGCCCCTGCACAAGCCCAGAAAATGGTGTGCCATAGCTGCAGTCTAAACTGGCATACTCTTATTTTTCTTTCTTTTTTGGTTGGGACTTTGGACTTGGAGTTGCTAGTTGTTCTCATGATGCTATTGTCAGTGCTCTGCATATCTTACTGGCTTGATGATTAGCTGGTTTCTGTTTGTGGATATGATAATTTGATTCTATGCTCATTTTACACTCTGTGCAGGGAGGCATTAAAGTGGCCTTGTTGAGTCCTGGGTTCATCTATGAACCCTATGCACCTCGTGAACCAATCCCATTTTGGAAGAGGTTAGCAGGGTTCTATGGTTAATTGCTACAAGCAAAACTTTCTTATTTAGCCCGGATAGCATTCAGTGTATATATTTTGTTCCTAAGCACTGTCTTTTAATATATGTTAGATGGTTCACAAGAAGTGGTTGGAAAAGGACAAAAGATGATATTATTTTAGAGGTGATATCTCTCTTGCAGTTTGCAATTTGCTCCAACTTCAGTGTGTGGTCTTAATAAGCTTGCCTTTTGATGCTGTGCCTGCACAATGTTGCCATAGAATTTGAATTAGTATCTGGTAAGTCACATTTCTAGGATCTTATTTGCAGCTCAAGAGTGCCTATGCCATAAATAAGTTGAGGAAATCTGGATGCTCAAAAAACAAGTTCTACACGGAAGCTGCACAATTATACAAGGAGGTAAGAATTATCCAATATCTTTAACTGCATTTGCACTGTGTTTTCTTATGGTTTTGATGCTGCTTTTGGCCTGTTCCCAGCTTCCCACCCTCTGAGATGGTTGCAAACTGAAACATAAAATTAAATATTACTGCATGTACAATTTAGTATGAAAAATACATTTTAGATACAACTGCTTACCTATTTCAATGTATTGATCAAAAACCTAAATTACAATGAGATTAGGTTATTTTCTCATTCAGATCTGTATATTGGAATGAGGGTTATACACTTTCAAATAACCATCATGAATTTATTTGATAATTATAGAAATAACATTTCAGACATATTTTTGAGAAGATTTCAGTGATTTTTATATCACAGACAAACAAATCCTTAAAAAAGGTGCTGCAATTTAGATCATGTTTGTGTTGTCAATAGCATGTACTGCTCTGATAGTATAGTTCCATCAAGGAAGGGTCTTAAGTGCAGTATTTTGCAGAGAGGATGTTGTGGAGGTTCACAACTCATTTCATATGCACTTGTATTCCAAGACTTCTACTCATAACAGATAATTTCTCCTTAATGAAACTTTCACTAAATTAAAGTGAAAAAAAGAAAAATAAAATGGAGAAAAAGGAACCGCGGGAAATCATCTAAAAGGAAACTGGTAAATAGTTTTGGGTATTAAAATTCAATGTCACCTAGAAATTACAAATGACCAATATGAGAAATAGGATAGACGTTCGAACTAAGTCTACTTTAAAAAGAATAAGTGTTTACATTTTCGTCATTCTTTGTTTCTTGATCTTCCTTATGTGGTGTTGTCTTTTAGAGTATCATTGAGAGAATTTTAGTTTGTTGTTACATGGATACGAACCTCCCTTTGAATTCATAGAAAAGGAATTATCCAAATTCACAAAGCAATGTCATCTTCCCTCTTTTAGCTTTTCTTTCTTCATTGTTTAGTTTATCTCCTCACCCTGTCATATTACTTCAAAGGCCATCTTTGTATGCTCTCTCAATGTGCATTGTTTTTCCTTTTCTGCAGATAAACACTATGATAGCAAATGGTGACAAAACATCAGTACGAAAAGCTGTAACAGAGAATATGTTCTCTGTAAGCTTCCTATCTTCTATATGCTTTGATGCTAATGTGTTATGATGCCTATTTTGTTGCATGCTTAATCATTGCTACTTTTAGCAATTTTAAACTTTTAGCTAAATAAATTTTACATGTTGCATTATCTAACTTCTGACAGGAAATCAAGAATGAGATCCGGATAAGAGAATCAATGTGGAACAGGATTTACTGGGAAATGGTTGAACCTGTGGTTAAGATACGGACTTTGCGAGCTCGACTGGTTAGTATCAAGCCTAGTGCTTGTTATAAGATGTTGATCCTCCTATATTATATTTAAAGTTTTCTGCAAAGTAAAATATAAGAATTCTAATATCAGGTTGGCTGGGCATAAGCTGCCCAAGCATGTGCTTCAAACTTATTTGGGGAAGTAACAGTGTCTTTGTTTGGAGAAAGTAATGGAATATGTTCACACTTAATCTGATTGTTTCTCTTATTGCCAATCAACTCACAAGAATTTGGCACTCAATTCTGATTTGTGTTAATTTTTCACTCTTTTTTTTGTCCTATTTGTGGGCAATCTTATGCTTGTTGGCCTCATTGCATGATCTATATATTACTTTTTCTTTATCCAGTGGGAGTAGGACCTTTATTAGTTGCAAGATGAGGTTCCTTTTCATTATTATTACTCTTGAATCTTG